CCCAGCTGTCCTTGGCAAAAAGGGCACCCGTTTTTTGGTATTTGGCTGTGGGTCAAAAGAAGGTACCCAAAATGGAATTTGGGTAAATGGAAACATGGACTAAAACCTGCGGTCCCCTAGTGGTTTGTTTTGACCCACACCCATTTTGTTGATTTTAGGGAACCCTCCGACGCCCAGGTGGACTCCCCAGCAACCAAGGAGGCACCCTTCCGGAACTGGAGGTCACCTTTCCGAGCCGCAATCTCCTCCGGTACAGCTCCACCCTTGCCTCGACTGGGACAAATCCAGCATGGCACCCGCAAAACCCTCCGAATCTCCTTTTGCCTTTGGCACACCGCCAAGGCAAACATGGCGATTCCGTTTCCCAGGGTCCATTCGCCATTTCACTCAACATATCCCTTGGTGGTATCGCGGCTTCCCAATGAACTGAAAACAAAAAAAACAGTTCCCCGTTTTGGTGGTTTTTAGGGGGAACCAAAAGGAATACCTGCATTGTGTTTCTTTGTTTGGGGGCGTCCCCCTATTTTAAGACACACCCATTTGCCACTAGCCTGTGCCGCAAGCAAAAAGACACATACCATATCCGTCGCCTGTCACTGACTTACAATCTGCGGCATAGAAAATCAGACATCGCTTGCGGATATGATAGATAATGTAGTCAACCATACAAACTCCTCCACTTCCCTGAAGGACATGAACAGATTGGCTAGCGGAAGGTTGCGCATGTTGCACCCGCACATTCCGCGGAAACAATCCCAACCACACCAACGAATAGAAACAAATCCCCTGGACCCTCCACACGTCCGCGTGAACTGACACCCAACCAAGGGGTCAATAGAGGAAAACCGACAACACACAAAGAACACCAGCTAAGCATGCGAAGCTCGCTTGCGCTCGCTTGCGCCGAGTTGCCAGTGCACCTCCAGCCCCCGGCCGGTGGGGTCTTGCTGCGCATGCAAATCCGGCCCCAACTTCCACCGCCTTTGCCGCACTCGCAGCCACCCCCGTAGTTGGAGGAGTCCGAGACCAGCTCTCCCTGCGACGATGTCATGGGATTAAGCAAAAAAACAACCTACGGTTCCGTACATGTGTAACTTTCTGACGGATTTTCGCGGCGCACAATTTCTGGACAGCGGCAGCGAGGTCGCACGTGCTGACCAGCACATGCTTTTGTAGTAAATACAGCTAAAGCCTGGCAGAGACCGCACGCCAAAACTACTAGGTGCTTGTTTGGAACCTGATCAATCCTTCAGAAACGGATCTTGGTGCCTCGGGCGAGGAGTGGTGGCAAAAGCAAAGGTACTTAAAACACATTTTGCAGCTTGGGCAGGCTTCAATGTTAACGGGAAAACTGCGGAAGTTCTGTTGCATTGCCGGAAATTCGAGGTACATAGAAACGGTTGGCCACCCACCCTAAATGAAATGTCCTGTCTTTAACGTTCTCAAGGTTTAAGATTACCTGAGAGCATGTTTCCCGGATTGTCAAACCTCGAATCCAGGAAAAGTGTGAACCGATCTTCCTGGATTCCAACCTACTTGGCTATGAACATAGATAGGTCATCATTGGACATCAAATATATCTGCATGAGATGTGTGCAACAACCGTGTTCGAGGATGCTCCACTATAGCTACTACCCTCACTTGCTGAGTGGACTGGCCAAAAAGAAACAAACTTGCTGTTTCCCACCCAAAAAAAAAAGGAAGTCCAGACCCAAAACGACGCATTTTAGACACAGCCGGAGCATTCCGCTCCCACCCGCATGCCATGCCTCGTAGGTCTTGCCGTCGCTGGCCCTGATGGCTTCGATGATGTCGCCCTGCGGTGAGAGTCATGGAGCTTTGGCGAGGGCTTGGTGCAAACAGCGTGGGGCTGTGCCAGCGGGTGTCTACGTGGCAACAAGCGCTACCGTAAACCGACAAGCATCTGAGACAACAAATTGGTCATCAGGTTCCGAAAGAATCATTCCCTAAGTCAGTTGGCACAGAAAGAAACGCAATGCGCTGGCATCCCGCCCCATGTCCGATCAAAATATGCAAAGAGTGCACTCGGCTTCTTCTCGGGCCTGCTTTTGACCAACATCTGTGCTGGTGGATTGGTGCAGAAACTTGTTTTTTAGCGGAACCCATCTATGTTGAGCCGAAATGAACGATTGGAGAGGAAGACTGTGGACAAGATCCCTCGTTGGCTGGAACGCCCAAACACTGGAGTCTTCAAGACCCCCAACAAGCTGGAGGTACTGCTACTTCGGGGCTATGACTCTCTCACTTTGTTGCTTCTGGTTTCCTTTCTGGGAGCCAAAGCAGGAGGGCTCGGCGAAACGCGCTCGGCGCGTCGCCGAGGAATCCTCCACCCAGCTGTCGGGTTCTGCCCCAAGAATCCACTGCGACGCAGACACGAGTTCCCATCCCAGAAGGACTGCTCAGACTGGCAGGTTTTCATTGTAACCTAGCACACGTCAGTAGCACAAGCAAATTGCAACGCCCTGTTCCCAAACATATTGCTCACACTCAAACTAGCTGCGGTCCATTCCTCTTCGTGTACTTATCTAGCCCCCCAGCCCACCGCGGGGCTGCCTTGCGCAAATCTCAGGGATGGGCTCGTGCAAATGGGAAGAAAGGGGAGCTGGTTTTTCCCTTCAAACAGCTCCAAGCAGGGTCCTGGAAGCCCCTCCAAACAGCTCCGGAGGTCTGCACCGGAGCAAAGAAGTCTCGACTTCGGACTCGCGCGAGTCATGCTGGCGTAGCTTGCAGGATGACAAGTCATGGATTGCCGTGGTATGGCAGAAAGTCTTGGCCTCAAAGCTTCCCCACAACCATGTCGCAGTCAGGTAGGAAAACTGTAGAACGCACATCTCATCTGCGTTGAAGCAGCCAGAAACGCTCAAAGCATGGTGATTTCCCAACAGGAACTGGGCAATTCAAAGCCGACTGTTCTATGGGCGGGTCTTTTTGTGAGGGTCCCTTTTTGGGGTGCTCGTATAGCGAAACCACAGCGAAACCATATGTTTTGGGCTTACCCTGCAAAAAGACACACATGTAAAGTTGCTTTGCTGCGCCCCGATTCTCCACGCGAAACGACGAAGGCATATGTATCATATGATCCAACCATGCGGAAAGCGCGGCCCAGTGTTTGTCCAGCGTGGGACCCTCCAAAGAAGGTGGCAAGTTAAAATAACGGTCCTTTGATGTTCAACCGAACAGAGAGTCAGACAAGGATTACCCAACTTAGAAGTGGAGAAGTGCAAGTGGGCCCACGGCGAGTCCGAGAAACCAGATTGCCTACAGAATTTCCACGATGGTTACCGGCTACTGTAACTGGAAGCACCAACTTAAATGATCTCTGGCGGACCGATTCGCCTGATGCTGGAGCTTGTAGGGGTGGGTGGTCTTCCAGCTGTCCGGCGTCTTGAAGAACCAGGAGTGCGACAGGTCTCCGGTCCTTTCTATGAAGCCAAGCATCACCTGCGGTCCAAGCTCCCGATGTCCATGGTCATGTTTTGTTTTTGTTTTTCCTAGGGGTCCTGAAAATGGTTGTCTACAAAGGACGTTTTGACACCTGGGCTGTCTCAAAACAGGTACCATAAGGACACTGAATGTCGACTAACTGGCAAAACCTTCGAACACCTGGGTCTTTCAAAAGGATGAACGCAACGCAACAACACGGATTTACGTGCAGTATCTTTTGAAGTCATGCTACCCAAGCCAAAAAAAAGACGGTACAAATCTGTTCGAGCTCTCTCTGCCCAAAATCCGATCCGTTGTGCAAGCAACAACACATAGATAAAGCGGAATATACTCTCTGGCCGCCTTAAGCAATGGTAGCTTCAAAAGGTTTCTGCGCTCCTTACAATGAGGCCACATCAATGAGTATGAATTCACACGTTTTCCAGAAATGAGCTGAACAGCAACAAGACCCAACATATGTATATATACATATAATATATATATATACGTAGATATCTCGACCTCAATTGAGAAGGCAAAACGCACTCTGTACTTTCCGATGCCTGTCCTAGTTGGAAACAGTATGAAATTATGCTGGGAACTCTTTGGTTCACATCGCTTGCATGGGCCTACCCAGCATTCTCAAGTGTCGTCCGCATCGTTGTTGTTTTTGCTTCTTGCGCGGCCAGTGGAGTCGCCATGAGAAATCTAGGGTTTCATCCCCGAGTTTCCCTCAGAAGTGGCAGGGGGCTTGGCTGAACATCCAACCAGACATGCCCCCGGAGCCCGGCAGCTGAAACGAGCCTGAGGAAACCAGCACCCGAACGACAGCTCTTCCCGTGTCGAAAACCCCACCTGTCCAAAACGCAATGGGCGAGCGCTGTAGGGCCCCTTTTCGAGACGCCGAGTTCTCAGCTTCGGGAAACACCCCGAATCGAGCGGTCGAATCTAGCGTTCCCACACCGACCCTTCCCCATTGTCCCTCGGTATGAGTTGATGCTGCGAGACTCAAGATGATCAAAAGCCAAAGAGTAGATATTTGGCGAATGGTTTCCTGTAAAGTTCCTCGCAATTATATTTTCCTCCATCAACCTCAAGCGGTCGAATGGATTTGTGCATGTTCTTTCTCCATTGAAACCCGGTCCGCTTTGGATGCAAATGTGATTGGGTTGCAAAACGCTGATTTTCCGCCGCATCTGGACACGTATGAACTTGCACCGAGAGGCATAGGTTCCCAAAGGCACTAAGTAGCTGGTGTCAGTGCCACTGGTCCAAGTCCGCTTCCAACCTGACGCGAGCCGAGTGGAATGCCCCAGTGCCAATGTTTGACCTCCTTCTGGTTTTTAGGGGCCCACAAAACAGGTGCGGCATTGGGGAAAAGACAGGGGACCCCCAACTAATGTAGAAAATCGGCCCGTGTTTCCCGCTGCAGGTGTTTTGGTTTCCTTTTGATTCTCTTTGAGTTCCAAGGCATCTTGAATTCTTGAAAACTCCCGAGGTTGCATCACAAGCAAACCCATTGGACCCGTTGCGGGACCACCCAACGATCCGATTTCTCCCAATCCCTTCAGGCATGCTTGCTGCGCCGATGTGTCTGTTTCTTTTTTTTTGGGGGGGGGGAGGGGCCGGGTTTGAGAGCAAAGCTTGATCCCACGATCCCAACTCTGAACTCTGCGGAGATTGAATCCAGCACATTCCCGCATAGAGCCCGGCGTGGTTCAAAGAGTTGCATCAAGTGGACCTATGCGGCGTATCCGCCGATATTCCGTCCCAAAGTTCTGGCCCGCATCGCCTTTCGCACCGGAAAAGGGGGGCCTTTTTCTTGAAGCATGCGCTGCAAATGAGCCGACTTTGGGTTCCAAGCCCAAAACAATCTCCGAACCCTAATAATCAAGGAGTCGAATCAGGGACGCTCGGTTGCAAGAGGTCCCGATCGCCTCAGGATTACGTGTGCATCCTTCCCATTTGCTGTAACCCAACGGGTCACCCCCTAGCCTGCGGAAGTATTCTACATAGCTAAAGTCGACTGCCCTGCCATTCAACCAGCTCATTAGTCCTTGGTGGAAACAAAAACGTGTGGAGTCTTGGAGAGACCCCGTACAAGAGGCATTTGTGGAGAGGGTGGGCGTGGTTTAGCTAAGATGTGGGTGCTTCTAACGAGACGATTCATCTGGACCTCTTGAGAGGCATCCCCGAAGGATGTGAGTCCCACAAAAGGGGGAAATCCGCCTTCTGCGTTTTTGAAGTTGACGCCGGTCAATGTCTAGGTTGTTTCACTGTGGTTTAGCTAAGGTGCGGGATTCCGGGGATTCAGGTTCTTTTGGGGTCTGCAAGATGGGGATCCCCGAACCCTCCAGTGGGGCCGCGGCCTGGGTTTTGGTCCTTTGTTGCGGCGTTTTCCTGGATCAACTATCAGATTTTTACGGTCGGGGAACTCGCCCCTGTGATCCAACAGGCTTAAGACAACATTGGCCGTTGGCCATGCCGTGCCATTTGCTTTCTCGTCCCCTGGGAAAAAAAAGAAGAAAAAAAAGGAAAAACGAACACATACGTTTGCAGCAGTGAACAATTCCCTTTGAAACCAACAGGGGGACACAAAGCATATGGGTCTTGGTAAAGAAAAAAAACACCGGGGAACCGCTGGTTTTAGTCCTTGTTTCTATTTACCGGGTTCCATTTTGGGTACCCTTTTTTGGACCCACACCCAAAATCTGACTTGCTTGCTCAGGGAATGAGAAACTTGGAATGACCATAGCCAATAAACCATCCCCGATTTGGTTTCCTCTAAGGGAATCTCCAGGTTCATTCCAATTCCCTACCGATTTCGCAACAGATCACGAGCTTCGTCCAGGTCCTCCAGTAGAGAGGCTAGAATAAGCTGGGTCCCTTTTTTCTGTAGTCTATTTTAGCGGAACCCTCGCCTAAAAAAGAAACGGTAGGGCACTGGGGGACCTCATGGAAGACACCCGACTCTCGCGCCTTTGCCTCGCACTCCGATAGGGTGGAGCACGTCAGGCTCGCCGAGGGCTTTTTGCACGGCCCCAGCGCCAGTTCGGGCCACCTACGCTTATCCCCCATGCCCTTGGAGATTGAGGGCTCATCCCCCATGCCCTTGGCAAATTTCTAGATTTTGTGGGAGATTGAGAGCTCATCATTCATATTCTTGCTAGACTTTGTGGGAGATTGAGAGCTCATCCCCCATGCCCTTGATCCCACCCCCCCCGCCAAATTCACCATACCCAGCAACTTTGACCAGCCTCATATTCTCGAGACACGAAATGGCGAACGGGGGTCTGCTTTGAGAACCACCTGTGTGGGCATGTGTCAAAATAGGGTGTGACCCGAGACATGGCTGCCTTTCCTTTGGTTGTCCTTTAAACCATCCCCCTTGTTTGAGCGATTCCGAAGACACACACACACAAACAAAAAACACACACACACAAACAGACACACACACACACACACACACGCAGAGAACCATACTGTGGATGGACGAATTCCTGCACCATGGCAAGATGATTCCCCTGTAAATACCAACAGACAATGGCTTCCCATGTTTTGAAAATGGTGCGAAATGGATCTCGTCCATCCACAGACTGGAGGCATATTTGTGCAAAGCAAAGGCGCTAAGGCCGCACTGAGTATAGACGTCCCCCGCCGCCAGCGTGTACTTCTTTGCGCATGTGTCGTCCGCCTTCTGCTCGTCGCATTGGAAGATCTCGGTGCCGCCTCTGCGGCCGGGTTTGGGGTTTGGGGTTGGGGGGGGTTACCAACCCATGGGGGCAAAAACGAACTCCATTCAGGGGATACCAACATCCAACCCATGGGGGAATAAAACCGAGGTATACGAAGTTTGGCGTGTTTGCTTTGTTGCGGATTCAGAGTCCGTCAATTCCATTTATGGTGTCTTCCAACCACACATAGGTTACCCCGCCTTTTGGAATGCCCAGTGAATTCTCAGATTTGTGGAAGCTCCTTTTCCCCAGTGGCCGGGCACCGTGCATCAGGGAGCGGGAGCGAGGGGGAAAAGAGCTAGGAGTTCTATTCCTCCATTTGCTTCAGGCCCCTGGAAAAAATACATGGATAGATTCCCTTTAAAACCAACATGGGAGGTGAAAAAACATATTCCTGAGCAAATGGATGCATTCCTGTGGACCTATTTCTGGGCTTGGCGGCGCACGCGCTTTGGCGGCGCAGCACATGATGAAAAACTGGTCGAAATCGGTGCTTGCTTGAAGCAAACTGACAAAATCAAACCTACGGTCATCGGACATCCGCTCTTCAGTTGCAATTAGGTTCCCATCATCAAAAAATCAGGGACCCCTGGTGCATGCATTGTCCCCTTGAACAGGGATGGGGTGGGGGATGGTCCCCAAATCCTATTCTTCTAGTCCGACCACAGAAGGGAAATGGAACTAGAAATGGAGATCTCCAGCGGTCACAATCCTATCAGGGTTGTGTTTCTTCTTGTTTTCGTGCCACAAGAGTAGAGGTGTGCTTCCTCGAAACCTTCTGGTTCTGAGCAACCCTACGGAACTGCAAATGGACATCTCCAGGGGTCAACATCCCCCCACCCGTGCCCCCCCACCCGCGCTATCAACTATTTTTGCAGGTTCTCCGCAAAGGATCAACCAGTCTTTCTTTTGGGAATCAAGCGTTTGGATATCTCCGTAAAAGGAAAACTACACAAGGACGGTCAGTCAACGCATTCCCATTCCCTGCTGGTCGACCCGTTGTCAAAGGAGCCAATCAGATCTCCCACGCAGTCGGCGGGCTCTTGCAGCTTCATGCCAGCTGCGCCAACGGACAGCAGCAGGCAGGACTTCATTACGAAGGACTTCATTGCAACGTACCCCCCGGGCCAAAGCTGCGGAACCTGTCGACATCTGGGTGCAGAATATTTCGCCAACCCTGGGTCTGTTTGATTCTGCATGTCAAAAGAGATGCCCCGTGCAGTGGCAAACATGCTGCTTTTGTTGGTTCTTGCCTGTGTCGCGCAATCACAGGAGCTTAAGTCTCCTGTACAGGCGCATCAACCACTTTCAACGTGTCTGGATTTTGAGGGTCAGGACCCTCCAATTTACCCGTTGTAGATGTTGGACACGGCCTTTCAAAAGAACGGTTGAAAAGCATTGGAAATTGAGCGCCAGAACCATAGAGAACTTTCTTTTAGATTGGCTTTGAAGGGAAGGCAAAAATGATGCCATAAAACTCGAAGAGTGTGCACATGACTGGAAAGAGGCGACCAATGCTGTTCGATCTCTTTGTCTTAAACCATTTTCTCTGGGCCCATGGCACGTTCGAGCGGCTGGAAGAGGAAGAGGAAGAGGATCGCCTACGGGAAGCGTCCCTTTCCCGTCCCTTTCCAGCTCTAAGAACAGGCGTGGGCGCGTGTGAAGAACAGAAATTCACAGGGTTTGTTGGGTTGAGCCGCTTCCTCATTGTGTGGCTGTGGCTCAAAACCAATGGTGCCATTTTGGGATAGGTGCACCACCCATTTTAGGACCTGTTTTAGTGGGGATTGGGATGTTCACTGGGGGTTCGGGATTTTGACCCGTGGCCGTGTACTCCCATCTTTCGAACAGGTTTTGGGCAGAGGCTTGCTGCTCGTGAGCTAACGATGGCGGCATCTGCTTGTGGTGAGGAGATGTGAGGAGCTACTTGTTGTAAAGCATTGGTTTGTAGGTCGTATCCCTGGACACTTCTGGGATCTAGCGTCAGGGGTGTAACAAGAAACAATTGAATCTATGTATATATATATATATACATACATACATACTTACATGTATGTATTGAATATATATATATATATATATGTATATATTATATATACACACCTGTGCACCTTGCAGCCGTATGGAAGAAGGCACATTGAGTTTTCAACATGGATGACCAGAAAGGGCCCAAACCCCGAGTGTCACACTCGCCACGTTTGGGAGAGACCACCTTCACGCTCGATGCTGTAAGCAGGGCCCGGGCCCCCCCAATCTCTTTTTGGATAGACTTCGCCAGCCTTCCTTTGGGTCGGCAGGAACAAGCAATTGGCCAAAGGGTCATGCTTAAAGCACATAGTGAACATGCGTCGGATCCCAAGTGTTGCTGTTGCGGCTCCGTTGAAACGAAATCTTCTCTCAGCAAGCTTTGAAACTGAAGCCTCCTCTCAGCACTTCAAGAGGTCTGAACCAAAGCCCACCCTTGGGAAATGGAAAAGGGATGTGTTCAACCAACCCCTGGAATGACTGGCAGATCGCTAAGCTAGCGAGCCAGGCTAAGGCCTCTGGACGGATCGCCCAAGGCCCCCTCTTGCAACTGGCTCCTACCCTGATCTTCCAACAAGCCGCTGCCTTTGGCTCCTCAAAAAAAGGCAAAACCAAGAGCAAAGTCTAGGCATCGTGTGAGCCGTGTTGTAGTTTCTTGGGGAAATCGATGTTGGCTCAAAAAGCATCCGGACAGAGGCAAGCAGTGAGTGGGCCCGTTGGAAGCACAGCAAGCGGTCTCATTTGTGTGTGCTGTGTTGGGGCATGTCAAGGTTTTTTTAAGAGAAACTAAAGACAAAACACCATTTGAAATGGCCGCGATCTTGCCCATATTCAACTCACTGGCTGATCAAACGGCACTGCTTGCAGCTTCATTTCGCGGAGCGAAAGGCATCTCATGTGACACGGCGACCCAGTCGCGTCTTGCCCGCATTGCGCACTCAGCGATTTTATTTCCGTAATGAACAATGGACACCTGCCATTATGAGGAATGGGCCACGTGTAAAGACAATGCCGCATGGGACACAAACCTGCCACACTGATTCACCCAGCCTCGTTTGGCCTCGCTTTTCCTGCAGCTTTGGGAAAGAAAACTAGTACCTCCTGTTTCATGATTGAAATAGAGGCACCCCAAAAGGTAGATGGGACCCAACTTGATGTCAAACAGCAATGGGAAAAGGGTCTATATGGGTTTGTGTCAACGCAAGGGAAGCCCCAAAACGGTTAGCTTGCTATTGGCTTCCCTTTGAAAGCAACCAAAAGGGGTTCCCAAACAAGGCACACCCGTATTGTTTGCCTACGTAAAGGACCCTATCCGCCACCCAATTCAGGCCTGAGCTCCCCTGACTTTTGGCCTGGCCTTTGGCGTGAATAAAGCTTGCTTTTCTGTGGATGTTCCCCTCCAGGACCCTCGTGGTGACAAAACGCCGCTCAATTTGTGGCAAACGCAGAGTCGTCTTCGTTCATTCACCTACCAGGGTGGTCCTTTCGCTGAAGCCTTTGCACGGCTCGCAAGTGCGTCGTACCCTTTTAGGGGGTTTGTCTATGTATGCTTCCAAGAAGGAATGAGGTTGTCAAAGGACAACCTTGTCACCAACAAGAAGAGAAACATAAAAGAGCAGTACACTCACTTCACGTGTAGTTCCAAGAAACAGTGACATTCTCCAATCCAAAGGAGGTCGAAGACGAACCTGGCAATGCGGAAAAGATCCGCAGCTGAGCTCAAAGGTTTGTGCGCTCGGTCTTCAAGCGCTCGACTTTGTCCTATCTACAGCACCGCGCGAAAACTTCGAAATGGCATTTCCTGGGCAAGCGGGGTGGCCTCTTGTACTAGAAGCATGGTGGGTTTTACCTGCAAAGACGAACATGAACCGCAGACAATAACTGGTTTAACTTAGATGCGTTCACCGAAAAGCGGGACTATCATTTACCTGCAAAGAAGAATATGCCCTAAGTTAAACAACCACCTGCACTTGGTGTATGGAGGCACGTACTCCGTTGACGTGCTTGCACGTGATGGTCCTTGCACTATTGGCCGAATGGCTTACTTTAGTTGATCATCAAAGAAACCACATCCCCTGCGACCAGGAGGGAACACGCCCCCAATGGTTGACATCTGGCTGTACCACGCTGCTCCACGATTCGAGGGTGGCTATGTTCAACTGGTCTTGGAGACAGGAAGAGAAGTGAGGCACACCAGTGAACAGGCAAAACCTGGCGGATAAGTTGTTGTAGCCACACTCAGTGGCAGTTGCCATCATGGTAGATAACTGGCTGAATCCCCGCCAGTCTTCATGCGCTTCAGGTTACACAATTCAATGGCTCCACAGCCATAGGAGAATCCAGCAATAGCTGGTAAGTAGTGTACACATGAAGGGAAAAAGGATCAACATTCAGTCCAACCAGTCTGAACACGTACATAGTGACTGGGTCAGACTTAGACCCCGTGTTGAAAGCTTCGAATGGCAAGCTTCAGAGCGCTTCAATCCGCTTCAAACCAGGGACTCTGGACAACACTTTACGCGGACTATGGTGGACTACTATGCGAACAGCCTTGGCCCTTGACGCCTGCCAGCAGGGAAGCCGCAAAGTTCCCAAACTATCGAGATGTTGAAGGTCAACCCAAAGGGCAAGACTGCCATTTCTGCCTCGGTTTTAGTCCTTACACTCATAACATGTGACAGATCTGAAAACAATTACCAGGCTTTCGATGCTCAGGCTAGATGACCCCCCCCCTCTATTCGAGCTTCTCTGCTTGCCAGCGGACGTGCCAAGCGACTTATGCCGCGAGAAACTCAGAGAGCTGCCTGACCAAGATCCACCTGGGCGAACAGGTCGAGCGCCTTCATCTTCCAGGACCCTGCAAAAGTAGTGGCCGTTGGCTGATCCTCTAGTTGAAAACAAAAGAGGAAAGTCAAGAAGGAACCTTGCAAGACCAAGGACCAGATCCGCACAAGTGACACAACACTCAAACAAGTCGCTGCGAGTATTTGGCCGTAAGGCCCCAAAAAGAACATACCAAGACGTTGTTTCTCGCCAGAATGCCAACTTCGGACGGATTGATACTCCAAGAGCAAACATTTCATTCTGGTTTCTTCAGTACACAAAGGGCAATTGCTTCGAAAATAGAAGAACTATGGTTTGGAGCATGTGCCTTTTCCCCTTCCTCTCTCTCTCTCTCTCTATCTCTCTGTATTCTTATTGCTCTCTTTCTCACACGCTTACCGTTTTCCGTATTCCCTTTGTCTCTCTCTTTACCGGTATCTTTATCCTCTTTTCGTTCTCTTTTTCCGGCTCGTTCTCCTTCTCCATCCCCGTTTCAGCCTCTTTCTCCTTCTCCTTCTCCTTGCTTCTCCTTCTCGCCCTCTTCGACCAGGTTGGCCCGCTTCCATGAACCAGCCCTCGCCTTCTCGCACTGGCCCATGTTTTTCACGCGCAATGCAGCAAGAGACGGCGAACTCAGAACCAGTCCCCCCAAAGTTCCTATACCTGGGGCCATGGACCCATTTTTAAAGGATCATGGAGACCAATTGACACTTTGAAGGAGACCCCAATTGACCCCTGAGGACCTCGGCTTTCAGTTGCAGCCTGATCTGAGCCGAGCGCTGCCCGTTGCTCAGCCTCCTCCACAAGAGCTCCAGGTCTGCTTCGGAGAGAGGAGCTTGTAGAGGAACTGCGAAGCCAAGGGGCTTTCATCACTCCCATCTTTTTACCCCCAGGTTTCCTTTAGCCCAACTTTTTTCCCTACTCCCATCCTTTGACTACAGGGATACTTTATCCCAAGGGTGTCTATTTTGGGGAAATCAGCACACCTTGGGGTAGTCAAAAAATAGAATCTGACTCGATCCGTTTGGGCACATCAAGGGTTGTTTGAAGGGTGGTTCTCCATAGGGCGGGGTGTGCACAGGTATGACCCCGTTGGTTTGCAATTCCGGAATTCCAAAACCTGGAAAAAGAATTGGATCCCGATCTTCGTGCGCTTGTTTTACTCCAAGAATCGATGAGATCGCCATAAAGTAGCCAGTTGCCCATGGCTGCTTTGCCACTTTCCAGGAGACTGGTCGGTACGATGGACAGCTAGATGCAAGAAGCCCAAACCCGGCTTCGATGCGCAGATGCTTGGACGTGGAAGATCAAGACTTTCTAATGAATGGAAATAAAATCACCTCGCAGCTGTAGTAAGGTGCCGTATTTGGTTCAGGTCTAGGACACGGAGGAAACACACGAACGCACACTATGAGGGCCCAAAGAATTCAATGGGCTTGTGAGGTTTGAATACACCAACTTTACTAAGTCATGACTATTGGAGTAAACTATTAGTAATTCTCTTTTGTTTGCCCGTTGTACTATTTAATCGCCCAATATCTGTGGCCATGTTCATACGCTGGAGGCAAGCGAATCCCAAAAGTTCAGGGCTCTGTCAAAAGATTGTCAACCCCTATCTATTATCGGTTGCTTTCTGCTCCCCTGCTAAAAGTTTAACTTTTAGTGGTTTAGTGGAAAAACCCACTAGTTGGCAAAAAGTTTAAAGTCCTAACAGCCAAGCAAAATGCACCAAAGTATTGATCTGTGTTTTTTCGTTGATCCAGGGCTCTCAGTACCTTTGTGGACAAATTCAATCCGACCGCCGTGCCCCCACTTCGAAGGAAGAGAGAAGAGAATGAGGTAGATCAAAAGAAAGACGCACAATACTCACTTGCCCCTTTGAATCATCCACAAAGCTTGGCACCCAAGAGGTTGGTCCCACAATAGAAATGCATCGCAAAAACATCACCTCGGCAACAACACCAACCTCAAACAATCGTGAGTCTGCTTTGAGGGTAATCCCCCCCCTTTCGAGGTTTTGAACGGGAAACCACCAAAAAAAAAACCGATGCGGTTTTTTGGAGGTCCCAATTTTCAAAAAAAAAGCTCGGCTCCACCCAAAACCAAAACCATTCGCCTCTGGAGGCGACCTCCGCGAAGTTCTCAAAGGACACCTCCGGGTGTGCAAAAGACGATCCATTTGTTGGAGACCCCATGGTGTACATCTTTTACAGATGGATCTTTACAATGGGGTACATCTTTTACAGATGGATCTTTGCAATGGTGTACATCTTTTACAGATGGATCTTTACAATGGGGTACATCTTTTACAGATGGATCTTTACAATGGGGTACATCTTTTACAGATGGATCTTTACAACTTCTTTTACATAGGGATCTTTGCAATGGGGTACATCTTTTACAGATGGATCGTTACAATGGGGTACATCTTTTACAGATGGATCTTTACAGTGGGGTACATATTTTACAGATGGATCTTTACAATGGGGTACATCTTTTACAGATGGATCTTTACAATGGGGTACATCTTTTACAGATGGATCTTTACAATGGGGTACATCTTTTACAGATGGATCTTTACAATGGGGTACATCTTTACAGATGGATCTTACAATGGGGTACATCTTTTACAGATGGATCTTTACAATGGGGTACATCTTTTACAGATGGATCTTTGCAATCTACATCTTTTACAGATGGATCTTTGGGGTACAATGGGGTACACTTTTACAGATGGATCTTTACAATGGGGTACATCTTTTACAGATGGATCTTACAATGGGGTACATTTTTTACAGATGGATCCTTACAATGGGCTACATCTTTTACAAATGGATCCTTACAATGGGGTACATCTTTTACAGATGGATCTTTACAATGGGGTACATCTTTTACAGATGGATCTTTGCAATGGGGTACATCTTTTACAGATGGATCTTTACAATGGGGTACATCTTTTACAGATGGATCTTTGCAATGGGGTACATCTTTTACGGATGGATCTTTGCAATGGGGTACATCTTTTACAGATGAATCTTTGCAATGGGGTACATCTTTTACAGATGGATCTTTACAATGGGGTACATCTTTTACAGATGGATCTTTACAATGGGGTACATCTTTTACAGATGGATCTTTGCAATGGGGTACATCTTTTACAGATGGATCTTTACAATGGGGTACATCTTTTACAGATGGATCTTTACAATGGGGTACATCTTTTACAGATGGATCTTTGCAATGGGGTACATCTTTTACAGATGGATCTTTACAATGGGGTACATCTTTTACAGATGGATCTTTGCAATGGGGTACATCTTTTACAATGGTGTACGTACATCCAACAATGGAAAATCAAAGAACATGTGGCTGGTCAAACATGGGTACCAAAACAGGTTGCGCTGGTAACGACCAAAACCTGCGGTTTTCTGGTGGTTTCATTTTGACCCATACCCCTGTACGACTTTGGGCCAAGGGAACTGGGCCACATGTGAGGCACGGTCAAAATTACTTACTTGCGGCCGTTTCGCTACTTAGTTTGAGAGGTGGATGGTACAGTGTGGCCCCATGTCCTTCACCCTCCAACTGAAAAGGACATGGGGCTTCCAGTTACAGTAATCCCCTTGCAGAATCCGTACAGACAAGGATTGGCATAACTCCAAGACAAACCTACACTAGGAGGCCAAACATGTTTCGTGGTTGGGGTGGTCGTGAAGGGAAACCACGGAAAAGCGGGTGGCTTCCCCGGGATGTGGGGATCACATTGTCGATGTCTCTTGACCATGTCAACAAAACATGAACAGAAACAATGAATTAGCTTCCCTCTAATCGGGGGCTTGGTTTGGTGGTTTCAACTAGGTGATCCCAAACCCCAGGAAGCCAGTCTTTCGACCGTAGCACACCCATGACTTTCTGCCGGTGCCAGTTGAACCATAGAAACTCACATGTGGCCCGACATTGGTTGCATAGGATGCCGCGCACGTGACCGTCCTGCTGCAACCTGGAACCCAGTTCGTAGAACGCGTTTGGAGCCCGGCACGTGTGGAAAATTTGGAGAAGGCCCCATTGGATTCATGAAGCACGCATTCAAACATCAGAATACCTTTGAATGCAACCAGCGGGCAAAAAGGACACATTTGTTTGGCTGGTTCTCTTTGAAGGGAGGCCGGGAGGCCGCACAAAAGAGGCCAACGTGGACTGGGACAACAGGGTTGGCAGACTTCTGGTTATCACCAGAGTAGCTGGAGTTCAAGCATCTGTACGTCATCGCTCAAATGATCCCTGGGAGCACAGCTTCAGAGACTCCAGGGAAACACTCCACGCACTCAGAAAAAAACATCGGAAGAAAGGGTTCTCGAGTCTGCTCAATCCCTCTGGAATTCGGAGCCAATTTGCGGGCAAATGTTGGGGCCCCATTTTTCCCCGTCCCCACTTCAGGAAAATCAGGGAAACTCACTTTACCATGGAAAGCGACATTCACCCACACCACGAGAAACCCGGAGCCCACTCTATCGGCGGTGGCACTATGCCCGCCTTGCCCTCACTCTTGGCGAAGGCTCGCAGGGCGTCCTGGCACAGCCGAAAGGTCAAATGAAGCCAAGCGGAGGTGGGCCAAAGGAGCCAAACGGACTCGAAAAAGGTTTAAACGCATCCTGTTCTTTTTAGAGGGTCGGCGTAATGTGCGAACATCCCCCAGAAAGGGGCTACATGACTCATGACTTGAAATGTAGCTGCCAAGTAACCCGACCGCATGCTAATGCTTCAGGCAAGTGTGGTGCCGCAGTTGAAGTGGGAGGCATCGCCACCTCCAGTCAGAAGGAACGGGGGCAAATCGAGGGCGTCCCGTTCCAAACGTCGTGACACCAGATTTTGCTGCTTGGTTTCGCTGGACGTTCGCCTGTCTGCGGACCTGAAAAGCGTCCAAAACCATGGCGGGCTGGCCGTCAGCGTTGCGTACCGCTCCTGCACACCCTGCCGTGACGGAGGTTCAGTCCAAGTGCCTCATGGGAGTTCCGACCCCAAGAGAAGTCCCATTTGCTTCTGGAACCCAACGGTCCAGATAGATGGGCCCTAGAAAGGCAAGCACCCAGGTGGGTCGGAAACCACTCGGGCCGCTCCTTCTGTTTCCAAATGCCACTCACCCTGCGGCCATTCGATTTCAGGAACCTTCCCGGGCCCAAACAAGCGCAAACTCAAACCCGACAGCGTCAACCTGCGACGTGTCCGGGAAACTTGACCATTCCACAAGGGCGGAACCTTCTAGGGAACCCGGGGGAAAAATATAGCTTGAAACCAACTGAAACAAGGGAGCTGGCACCCTCTTAATATCAAGCCACCGCATGGTCTTCACAGCTCCCCACCTCTCGGAATTCTCGCGCGAGCTGTGCCGGAGGCCTGCGTAGCTGCACTGCAGTTCCGTGGATGCGACATGCGGGAAGGATGGTTTTGAAAGAAACAGAAGAAACACACAGGATCCTGAGATTGAAAAATGTCAAAGGTGTATTCATGTTGCTCATCCGAGAGGTGCAGTTCGTAAAGGAGGGTGCAAGGGATGGCCGAGACTTCCTGAAGCCTTCTGTGTTCGGGGATTCCAACGTGTCATCTGCAAAAACAGGGGGTGTCTGTGGGTTTTCATGGAGGATCTTTCTGTTGGTTGTTCCTCTCCTTAGATGAACAATGCCAGAGCCCCCTCCCAACTTTTGCCTCTATCTTTCGGTTGAGGTGAAGGGCGATCCTTGAAAATGGAGGCTAGGAACTCCAATCAACTTGGAAGGATCTTGCGGATGGACGAAATGAACAGCCCAAGGATCATTGTCATGGAAACCAGAAGAACCAGTTCTAACTTGCCCAAAGCACCCGAGTTTAATCTTTGGATCCCTCGACTAACAACTCTTGTCAACTTCCCTCAAAGAACTGCTGTCGACATGGCAAACCGTGTTCGAAGCTCAAAGCTCTGCGCATTTCTTGAAAGACAAAAGGCAGTCAGAGGGGTTCACTGTGAGTCTGGATTCAAGCCTTTGAATCTGAGATGGGTCCATCTGGCCATGGGCCCCCCAGTGAACATCCCAATCCCCATAAAATGGGTGGTGCACCTACCCCAAAATGGTACCGTTGGTTTTGACCCACCGCCTGATTTGCTTCCTCTTGCCGAACCTTTCGGGCTGTGCGAGCCTGGAGGGGATGGCGCGCACGAGCTGTCGGGCCTGGCAAAGCCGGTTGGGTCAAAATATGGCTGTGGCTCAAAAACATGCACCAACATGGCCCCTTGGCAAATGGAAACAAGGACTAAAACTTGCGCAACCCTAGCTCTTTGATTTTGAGCCACACCCATATGCACGGACGCAACGTGACCTGGAAATCCCAAGTTCACTTTTCGGGTCCTACAAACAATGTATGGTCCCTTTCATGTGCAAGCGATCAGAACCCGTTCATTGGAACCCGCTTGGGGCCCAAGCAAAATTCTTGTCCGAGGCGAGGCGGCGAAAAACTTGTTTCTCGGCACCAATCCGAAGCCTTGAGCTCCTCCAGTGGATTTCCATGCGGGAAAATCGGGCATGGTTGGCTGGTCCAAAAAGGGACACCTGGATCGCCAGTTGTTTTCTTTCCATGCACTTTGCCCCCAAAAACCAGCAACAGTGAGGGAAAACAGCAGCAACTGGCTATCTAGGCACTCTCAAATGAAAAAGGCCCCACAGCCGGTCTGGGAATAACAAAGGGGCCGAGGCGCATGATCCGTCGTGTCTCGAAATTCGGAACCGGAGTTTCAGGGAAACTTTTAAGAACCTCTCGAAATAGTGAAACGATCTCTGGCTCCTTGCTCTTTGCCCCGCGTCTGATCTTTTCGGGTGCCTCCGAAAAGTGGATGGATTCGAGGGTCCCGTTTGTTTTGTGGGCTTCTGTGGATCAAGCGTCCGAGCTCTCAGCTTCGAGCCTGCAAAGAGCGGTGCTGCCGCAGGAAGCGACTCACCTGCCCGGCGACCAGGGAAAACAACGAACCAGACCACCCCAAACCACCCACCAACCACCTTCAAGTTGGATCCAATACCCCCCAAAACCAGGGAAAATCGGATACCCCATGTTGAGCGGTTTTTTGGGCAGCGGATTATTGCTGCGCAGCCCACACAACATTTAGCCCACTTGCGGGACCCGCTGGAATCAACTTGAGATTGGTATGCACCACGGGGGCAAGTGGATGGCATACTTCACATTGGGTAAATCCAGAGTATGACTAAACTAAACCAACATGGTGGAGTTGTGCCATCCACTTCGCCCCAACTTTATATATGGCTGGTACCTCTCCCAGGTCCTCGTTGTTGCACGGTACCATTTGGGGGCTCCAGGAAGTGCCCGAGCGACGGCTCACCATCGCGATCGCCTCTGAAGCAGCCTCGCGGTCGCCTGGGGAAGTATTCCGGGTGATCGCCGTTGGATCCATGTGAATTTCTGCTTGGAGATTTGACCTGCTGAGCCATGGTTATAACCATGGCTACAAGTTATAAGTGAGCCTACCTACCCCGTTCTACCGTTGATAACCATTGCTACGTGTTGCCAGGTTGGACCTCCATGCACCCAGGGCTCGCCCACATGTTGTGGTTGGCTTGGGTGCTATCAAGGCCTCAAAACTGGCTGGCAGTTGCATAAATCCTCCACTGTGAGACCGTATCTCAAAACCCCCCAATGATAAGGGGGCTTTAGAAAATGACCGCTTTAACAAGACTTCCTGCCAACCCGAAAGAGGATTTTCTATTCCCAGTGCAGTGACCCTGGTACAACAAGGGAACTCTTTTGGGGTTGACTATTTTGGGGAAGCCATCAAATAACAAAAATGGATTCAGAGAGTGCCTCTGAACTGCTGGGTATTAGCTCCAACTTGCCATTGCCGTGTTGACAAGAGCAACTTGCTGGCTCTGAAACGTAAGAATGCCAGGTGACTTGCCATTTCGTGTAGAGGTGGCTTTTGCCGCATGGGAGGTGTCGGGAAGTTTTCTGGTCAAGTTATAATGGAATGCCTATGGAAGTACCCTGCATCATCAATGAGGCAGCAAACCCGTGTGACTTCACTTGCATTCGGAACAGGCTTATGCCTTCAGGTCGACCCCGGATGAATCCACCCCCTCCCCCCAAAAGATGGTCCTTCTTCCTCCCCAAAAAATGGAAACCCGGATCAATCTCAACCAGGGGTTGATTCATCCTAGCTCAAACTTCGGCACCAGCAACTTGTCGACTTCCCAATTACCAACTCCGGCGGCCTTTGGCGGTCACGTCGAGTGTGTCCTATGCACTGCCGGGCACGAACACCCTGCGACCCCGTCCCCCCAAGAAAGACAAGCGCCAAAGCCAGGAAAACCCGAAAAGGCCACAAAGCCACGAAAGCAAAAAAAAAAAAACTATTCCCAGTGCGGTTAAAGCAAAACAAGGCCCTCCTACGCTAAAAAACCTCTGCTCATCCACAAAACGCCAGTTCACCCAATCAACGTCCTCCCCTTTCGAGGCCGGCGATGGTGTGCCTGCGGCCACGTGCCACCCAAAGTGGGGGACCACTTTCGGACGGGAAAAGGAATTTCAACCTGCTTAGCAAGCCCTTCTTGGGTGGGAAAGGATTTTACCGGATCAACCTATGTCAGGCGCAAGTAGTGGGTATATGGTCTGTTGGGTGGGAAAAGGAGCTTAATGTTCAACCCAGAGAAACAAACTACAACGATCAGAGAAACGAAACTGCGCTGTATCCTGTATCCCCTGTGGGATGGGAAAAGGAAGAAGTGTGGTGTCCTTGTTTGAGGGGAACAAAGCAAGCAAGCAAGTCTTTTTCTCGGTTGTTTCAAAGAAAAGCCAACACAAAAATCACCGTAAGCCTTTTGGGTAATGTTTCCAGAGAACCAAAAGGAAGCCAATCGGTTTAAGTGGAAGGCCCATGAAGGATCCTGGTGTCTGTCTGTGTCTGTGCTTTTGAGTCAGTACCCGTATTGTGTGCTAGATTTAATGGGAAGCCAAAAGGAGAACCACCGTTTCGGGAGTCTCCCAACTTTTTGACACATACCGTCACATACCATTGACCCTCCCATACCTCTTCTGGCAGGTGGATGCTTTGATGATGCCTTTTGGACCAGTTGACCACCCATTCCACGGTCAAATTCCATCTCCAGCCCTCGCTACTGGGGGAGACGAGTGGGAGTTTCCAATGGGCCGCCTGTCCCATGACAAAAGCAACGGGGTCTCCTTTTTGCGGAACCCCACTAAAATTATCCACCAACCACATGTGTTTTGGGTGTCCCTCAAATTAGGGAGGCCCAAAAGTGGTTTGCTGCCGTACAGATATTCCCTTTTAAACTGTCTCCGAAGAGGCGGTGCTTTGGAGACACGCCCCGTTGAGTGGACTTGTGGACTTCCCGCGGTCCAACTCCTCGCTCAATTCTAAGTTCACCCTGACGAACGTGGACCCCGACAGCCATCGGCGCGGCCCTCCTTTCAGGGCTCCGTCTGAGTTTGCAGGGGAGTCGGTCAGACTGCGATTTTGACCACTTGCTTTCAAAAGATCGAAAGAAACACGGGTGTGCATGTTTTCGAGGTGCCTTTTCGTTTGGCGGTTTTGAAAAGGGAGACCAAAAATCTAGGGCTAGCTCCCCCATTCTTTTCACGGATCCTTCTTTCCAGAAAACCACCACCAGCCCTGGCAAAACGGCTGGTTCTGAAAAGAACGATGGCTGAAAAGAATGGTTGGAATCAACCCCATTCAAAGGTTTTTGAGGTACCTTTTCCTTCGAGTTTCTTGAAAAGGCAGACCAAAAAGAAACACAAACTTTGAAGCTCATTTGGGCGGGTCCCCCGAAAACCAAAACACCAGCCCCGCCTCGAAGGCTCGGCTCCCGGGTGGATCCTCGCCGAACGGGTGGAACGGCGGGAGGGGGGGGGAGGTGCAGGGCAGTCAGTCTGTGGGCCTCCTTATTTTTTTTGGAGCCACTCGGTTCTCACAAGATACTTTGGGGTTGGAATTCCCTTTTGACCATGTTCATGTAGATTATGTTCACTGAAATGGACCCAGCTAAGTTGGAGACCCCTTTCTGTGGTTAGGTTCACGCCCGAAACCCAGAGAGAACTTCCGGAAAGACCAAGGAGGAGTTCCAGCAATCCAGGAAATCATGACATCCGGAGGCGCAAAACAAGTGCGAAACACACGGTGTGTTTCTTGTTGAGACTTTTGAGGCAAGTGGAAACCAACTCGCCGCTGCAAGACACACCCAAATGAGACCATCTTTGGAAAAGAACTGACTGGTTTGGGCAAGAAACCATTTTGGTTGCGATAATAATCCACCAACAATAGGCTTCGAAGCTGACACTATCCTTCTGAACACAAAGAAGTTGCCCAGCATCTCGCGTACAGCAGGGCCCGGCCCGCTCAGGCAGTTTGAGACATGGAGCGGCATCCCATGCTGTTCAAACAATGAAAAAGGGTTGTGGGAATTCGGGGTTGGTTCCTACTTCCATGACACCAGGGAGGCACTACCAGCCCTTGAAATTCTGGCAAGCCACCTGTTACGAGTGACACATGAATCAACTGGAAAAAGTTGAGGCCGCCTCGCAAAAGTTGCAGGGTCCGTGTGCTCCCTGGCATCCAGATAGTCATCGGGAAGGCCGCTGAAGGGAAGAATGTACAAAAGGGATCTACTATGGTGGTGGTGATGGTGATGATGGTGGTGGTGCTGGTGATGGTGATGGTGATGATGGTGATGGTGATGATGAGGATGAGGATGAGGATGAGGATGAGGATGAGGATGAGGATGGTGATGGTGATGGTGATGGTGATGGTGATGGTGATGGTGATGATGGTGATGATGGTGATGATGGTGATGATGGTGATGGTGATGGTGGTGATGGTGATGGTGATGGTGATGGTGATGGTGATGGTGATGGTGATGGTGATGGTGATGGTGATGGTGATGGTGATGGTGATGATGATGATGATGATGATCATCATCATATGACCATGATGATGATCATGAGGAGGAGGAGGAGGAGGAGGAGGAGGAGAAGGAGGAGAAGGAGGAGTATCTCTGATGTGGACACTTTTGGCCGTTTGGCCCCTGGAAAAAGCAGCCATGAAGGGGATATGTCCAAAAAAGCAGGTACGCAGCTGAGTCTTCTTCTTCCTTCTTCTTCGTCGGCTCCCGAGCATGGTTCTGAAGGGACAACAAAGCAAGAAGAAAAAGAGCCTCCTTCTGACACGCACACACGCACACAAACACACAAAAAACGCACACAAACTTCGTCCAAAAGATCGAGGCAACCACCCCCCCTGCGGCCTGCCTTGTGTGCTGGCCTGGCCCTGGACGGAACAGCAAGAGGTGAAAAGGGAAAATCGGCGTGTCCCAGAGGTCTAGACTGATTGGGTGTATTGGAAAAAGACGTTGTTTTTAGGGTTTGAGGGGCGTTGCGGGGGGATTCTGTGGGCAAATTGGCACCAGACCTGATTCAAGCTCTACAAAGGGATCAACGACTCAATCAACGACAGCCGGTTGCAGGTGCCCAAGAACTAGGACTCCATCAAAGTGGTCTAATTGCTTTCAGCATGGAAGGAACCTTCGACTTTTTAAAGGCACGTCTGTCTTCAGTCACGCATCCTACAGGAAAAGTATTCTTCCACAAAAGCCCTGTCCATACCCATCCATCGCAATCGATTGAGGGCATGACTCATGACGACTCATGTCCTTCACTTTGGCTCCCCCAGCTGCGGCTCTGAATCAGAATTGGATACTGGAGACTCCTCTGAAAATCAAGAGATCGAAGGTGCAGTCCCCAGGGTCTTCGAGTTTTGAAGAGTACTCCCAGTCTGCAAGCAAATGAGGGAACCCCAAGCTGGTCTCTGCTTACCATGCTTACCCTCAAAGCAAGCACCAAGGATACCCTCGAAAAGACTCGCCGGACCAACCCAGCATGATGCAACTTACACGTTTGAATGCAGCACTCAACGCCCCTCAAGGCGCTCCGATCATCGGCGGGCTCCTTCAATCTGGCTGATGCATATATTTTGAGCCCCGACAAAGGCTCTGGATTCCCGACAAGGTTCTGGGTAAACCAGGTCAGCCAACAAGAGACTATATTTATCGTTTGCTCATACTGGGGGTTGACAAAATCCTGCACTAGTTTGAAACCATGGTTGAAATTGCTTGTTGGTAGTTAGATCTGAACGTCGCAATCATCCACAGTATCCAGGAATGGCAAAGAATTCAACCCCAAGAATGCAACCAAATCATGGCTGAAATGGCCGCGCCCGGCATGCGGTTGCGCACAAATGGGTAGAGTGACTAGCCTGGTTGAAAATCGGTGAATCACAGTTGGGTAAAGGATTGGCACCAGCAAGCTATCCTTAGTTGGCCAATCTTCAGTAAAAAGGCTTTCTGCACCGCAAGTTGGCGTAGGGACTACTTTGAAAACTGCCAGGGAACCCACGAACCGAACTTGAGCAGACCCAAAGTTTCTGGCAGAACAGACATGGCCCCGCCTTCTTTCTTCCTTCGGAAAATCCAAGCACTGGGACGGTTTCCCAAACAGCTCCCTTGAAATCGTTCAGCAACTACAGCTCCAAGCCTAGGAATCAGCGAGAGGACTTTCATGACCTCGCGCCTCCGCCCTCGGGGCCCCGGGATCCATTCGACTCGGAGCGATCGGATCATGCCCCTCGGCCCCCTCGGCACCGGGGGCCTTGGACGGCAGGCCTTCGGAGCGGCTCCGGCCCAGCCTGCGAACTCTCGCGGTGAAAGCGTGCCCTGCGTGGGGCGCCATTGGGGTCGCCTCGATTTTGGGCGAGAAACAGATACCATTCGTTTGGCTCGTTTTGCCGACATGTTGTAAGCCTTCGGGAAATATCTGCCTCTACGTCTTGCATGAGTGGTCCCCCTACTTCAAGTGGCGTCAAGTGGCAACTGGCCGAGAAATGGTGGGTCACTTTTTCGTGACACCCCCTTTTAGGGAGTCCGATGCTTTTTGAGAATCGGGAGTTGCCCGAAAGCTCAGGAAAATGAAGACCATGGTTCAGAATAAGTAGTGCTTGGTGAAATGGACAATCAAATAAAATCACGCCACCACCAGCATGAAACACGCACTGCTTAGATCAGGGTTGACTGTGAAACTAAGGATCACAAGTATGGGTAAAGTGCCATAAGCCACCAACCTGAAACAAAGAACTCCAAAAAAAAATATTTCAATATGCGTGAGGTCGCACAACCTTTGGTGAGAACGCGTTTATTGCTGCCCAAAGAATTGCTAGCATGAGTGTGCGACAGGGGGATTGAATGTTGCTTTCGAATGAGGATAACTGGACAATGGGGTCAAAATAAGGTTAACAATTAACGACAATTAATCTCGTCATTCTCAATGTGCGTGACTTGAACGACTGGACACCTGAACACCAGAAAACGGATTTAGTCCGTTCAAAAACAAAGTATCCTCCATGCAGGGAAACAGGTCAAACTTGTGGCCCCACAAAAAAACGGTCGCCTTTCAACCCATGCCCCCCCCGTGTCTTCTCTCCCGACTGGACAAGGGATTGAAACCTTGCACGGCAATCTCTAGTTCGCTGGTCAAACATTCTGGTAAATCTAAAGAACGGAACACCTGGCATATCTAAACATGGGCTAAAACCCTGCGGTTTTCTGGTGGTTTAATATGGACTCACTGCCAGTTGGTGTCCTCAAACTCACCATTCGAGTTGGGAGTACTTCGCGACAGTCCGGCCGTATGCACATGGTCTCACGGGCGAGCGGAAGCTAGACTTTCCGGAAAACCACCAAATCTGGGGCTAATCCTAATCAAACATCTTCCTTTTAACAAAGGCAAACAGTGCCCGAATAGTGAAGAACTCCAACAACTGTAGAACCCCGCTTGTTCTACCGAAACCAACAAGACGTGGGCAACACCACAGATCTCCTCCCTGCAAAACCGGACTGTCTCAAAACTGTCGAGCTCCTCTTTGTGGGCAGTCCCCAAGGGGTGTCCCCCAACAAAGTGGATCCATGTTGAAAATGGAAATGGACCCCCAAAACAAGAAGGCAAGTCTTTTGGTGTTCCTTCAAACCAAGCTGAAATACCGGCAAGCCTCAAAAAGCCACACACCCAAGTGCGCAATGCCCCCCCCAGGAGTCCATTTCGGCTTCTGCAAGACAAACTTGAACCGTGGACCCAAGGTCTGGGTTCCTCTTTGAAGACATCAGCGGGTTTGAGTACACCTTGGGGTCAACAAATGGTGGTGTCTCAAACTCCCCTAGAAATCATTGGCTGCCTTGTCGTTTCCCTTTCACCGACTAAAAGCCTGCCCGCCATTTAAAAAAAAAAAAAACGGCACCCCTCCCCTTCCTGCCCTGCCTGTGCCGCTCCCGGCGCGGTGTCTCAGTGCTTAGCCTGGGCGACTTCGGCCGCGTCCTGCACAGCGCGTCCGCTGGGCGAAGTCTCAAATTAGGCCTCGCTCTGCGACTAGGTCCTTCAGTAGAGAGGTTAGGGTTTAGGGTACCAACTCCTTTTTGTGTTTTCGGTTTTGTCTATTTTAGTAGGGCAACCCTCCCATAAGAAAAAAGGGGTACAAGGGCACTACTGAAACACCTAGGCAAACAGCAGCAAGCTCATCAAGAGGATTGACATCATGGGACACTGTCGTGCTTTGAAGTCGGTGCCGGCTTCGCAAACAGCGCCGCATACTAATCGACTACCTTCAGACACCCGTGCGGTGCCGGGTGTCAGCTGCCATGCCTGCAAGTCAAAGCCAAGCGGGCACTAACACGGCATGCACTCAGGGTAGGAGGCAGGGTGGGGCTAAACAAGCTTAAGCCGTCTGGAACAATCAATCAGTTGTGCAGGTGAAAGCTGGCAGAGCAGGAAAGCACACTTGCAACCTGCTGTATTTGTTTCGGCTCCTGACATGATTTGTCACGATGGTTCAAATGCCGCTAGCTGGCGCACACGACCTCCGCACACATCCGAAGCATGGCACGCCCTTGAAATAGGTTCCGTGCCATGCTTCCAATTATCTAGTCAACTGACTATAATCAGGGTAGGAGGCAGGGTCCGGGCAAAGCTTGGGCCGTCAGGAACAATGAGTTGGGCCAAGGTGAAATGTGTCCAAGATTGAGAAGAAAAGCATAGTCAACTCAGTGGATGTGGGATTTTGGCAGTTATATCTCACTTTTTCAAAGTTCTCTGCACGCAGAGACAGGCTGGTGATGACTCTTGCACTGCAGACATCCGTGCAACGGCCAACCATCAAACTTTCAACTGCAGCCCAACCCTTGTTTTGGTCTTCCCCCTTTGGGAACACCAAGTTTCAACCCCACTATAAAACCAGAAAGGGGTGAGCACCGTTAGAGGTAATCCTTTTAGGGGTGGGTTCAAAGGAAAGCAAAACGACATTAGCAGTTGTTGGCTCCCTTATTTTGAGACGCACCCAGCTGTTGGTTTCCCTTCGTGCTTTTTGGTGTCCCCGGTTGTCTGAAAATATCGGTTTCTGCTTGGGCATTGGGCACTCACAACACAGACTGTAGAGTACAAGAAACAACAGGGTACCCACGTCGTTTGTTCGTTGAACCAACAGGTGCTGTTTCCTTCTCTGGAGAAAAGTAGACGGAACCCATCCCCTTGTGGGAAACACAAGGAGAACAACCGCCATTTCCCAGAAGAAACGCCTTCGTTGAACAGAGGGGAAGTTTCTGCCGACGCGAGTCCAGGGCACCTCATCATTTCACGGTGGCTCTTCTCCACTTCGTGCAGCCTGGATCGAGGCTCGCACCGATTTGCCCAAATCGATGCCTGTCTTGTTTGCGTTGTGAGGCGCGGTACCATGTTCATGTTGGTGAAGGGAAACCACAAGATGACAAAATAATTGTCTTAAACAACTTTGGAGAGTTCCCTCTTTCTGTCACATGCCTGAATGGGAATGGTGCCATTCTGCCAAGCATGCAAGGGTGATGTTCAATTTCTGAAACGTGATGCAAAGACCCACGTTCCAAAAGCACATTGCCTTTGTGTTTGAAATTGACTCTCTGGCACTGGCAGAAGTCTTCGACTACAACTGTAGCAAGGGGTCGGTGAACAGTAGCATGGCTATGAATTTGAATTGGGGACCCTTTCGTGGATATCATGTAGGAGGGGAGTTCTGTCCACCAACCACTCTTCAGGGGGCTCCCAATGTAAATCCATGCCCAAATCTAGATATCAGTAACCCATTCAAAAGAGCAAAAACCCGGAGGTCGGGGTCTCTTGTGCAGTCATAGCCCCTGACGCAACGCCTCGAAAGTCAACCTGGAACCCAGAAACGCGGCTCGTTTTTTGGGAAGCGCAAGGAAGAGCATTGCCGCTTGACACGCTTTGGAAAAAATCACAGCACCCCCGATAAGACACCCTCAGCTTGCCGGAAATACCTGGGCAAGTACAACTCACTGATGGATGGGGTTGGGGGGGTGCCTTAAACCCAAATCAAGCCATGATCCTAGAATGATAACAATCACTCAGCCCTTTGTAGTATGGGCAGCAACAGATATGACCTATCCACAGTATGTTTGGGCTCGTTCCACCATATTCCCTGAGAACCAGCAAAAGATGGGCTCGGCATTTGCCACGGTCGTGCTTCCAAGCGCTGATTGGTTCACCATGAACAAACAAAAACATGCGGTGGGCCTTATGGAGACATCTACCAAAGGCCGCTTTGGGAGACCCTGGCCAGGCAATTCACAGGAGAAACCGTCTCAAATGGTGAGCCTATGGAATGGATCTGGGGGCAAACCAGCGGACATGAAGCGATTTGGGGGGGGCCATTTGTCCTTTTTGGGGGGTGGTTTTAAAAATGTGAAGCCACAAAGTGCGCACCGGCCGACACGGGCACAAATATGCATCCACCTTGCAGGGTCCTCCCCCAAACCAACAGAAGGCTACCCAATGTTCTTCGTCGTCGTTCAAATCAAAACCTTCAATGGGCCAGAAACATGGCAAACAATGTTGAATAAGCTTGCCCCTCAAAGGTGTTGATCTGGGGATGCTTCTCTTGGGCTACCTTCTGCTAAGCTTCGAATGATCAGCTTCCAAGGAAAGCAAGTGACAAGAACCAGCTCCAACAAGCAAGGTTTGTTGTTGATTCAGGCTAGTGTTGTTTGAAATGGAGATGACAGCACAATTCAGCCGTCACTCGAAAAATGACAGATTTTGTTTCAAAACTTTGCCGCGGGCTGCACTACTTGTTTTCATCACTCAGACACGATTGCTGCTTCCTCCGCAGAGCTCTAGCTCCCGTTCTCTAGCTATCCGACATGGCACCGTCATCGACGTCGGGCCTTCCCGCCTACCCACCTGCACGACATAGTCAGGTCGCATCCACTTCTCTGTTCTGGGAGGAGTAATTAGCGACTTTCAAATCCGGATGCTTCTTCATCACCGCCAGCTGGCTCCTGATGGCCACCGTCTGCCGGGTCGAGCGAGCCCAAGCTCCGCTCCCTGACTGGGACGCAAGGCTCCGATGCGCATGGGTGTGTCACGCACGCTATTGATTTGCCAGGTCGATTTGTCCGGGGGACATTCCAGAACTACTCCCCTGGTTGAGCAGCGGGGAGGGGTGCAACCCATTTAAGAGAGGATCCAGATCACTCGGGGAGTTGTACACCCCTGTTCATCCACCAAATTCAATTCAGATCCATCAGTCTGCTTGTGGCTCCGCTTTGTACCTTGCATATCTATTTTTTGTCAGGGTACACCCCCACCAATTGACATGGAAGCATCGACATGGACCCTGGTCCCCGTCAAAAGGAAAAGGGTCCAACCCAGGAGAGGCGATCCTTGGCCCTTCCTCTGTCTCCGAATCTCCGACTCTCCGCCTGCCGCGCCAAGCATCCAGCTGCTCCGCGAGCAGCTCCTGAGTTGAAGCCCAAAGTGATTGCCAGTTCTGAGGACCAGCTTCCCCCGAATTGGTGGTTTGGAGCCCGGCGGTTTCGTGGTGAAATGGAGAGATGGTGGTTTGGAGCCCGGTGGTTTGGATTGGCGAAATGGAGAGATGTCCCATCAACCCAACAATCCGCTTCACTGGTGGTTTGGAGCCGAACCGGTTGGTGTGGTGAGATGGACAAGTTTCCTATCAAGCCTCTACAACAGCCAGGGACCCGTTCAAATGCCACCGTTCCAAAGCATCAACCAAGTACCTGAAGCAAGGGGGTCGGCAAAAAATGGGAGGGACATTCGGGCTTTTGAGGCTTGACACCAATCAGATGACGTCAGCGCCCACCATTCTATCAGGGAACAACAAAAAGCATCGCTTCTGCCAGGAAAGGAGCTCGAACCTTGCGGGGTGGGGTGGGAATTTGCAAGTTCGAGGACACTCCAACAGCATGGCTCCTTTTGCAATGCATACTCTTGGACAAGGGGCTCCATTTGCCAGTGTTGGACGCACCATCAACTCATTTATGGTTCCATGTGACATTTCATGTTTGAATCATTGCCTCAACATTTCAGCGTCCAACCAACATGCGCAGCTCGAAAATCAAATGCATAGTATGGGTGCCCGAAAAGCCAGTACAAATGAGGATAACATTTAAACCCAAGATGGTTTCAAGTCTCACTGGTGCCTGTGTCCGATGCATTTGGGCGGCCTAACTTCAGCCGGCCTTCCGTGGATCGCCACGAAGTCTCATTTTTCCGACCAAGAAACACTTCTCACGTCTGGCTTCCAGGGCTTCAAAGAACTCCTAACCTTGGCTTCTTTTTCGGACACCAATGTGACCAAATTTCGACCTGAGGCTTAGAGATACTATGGAAACAACAAAAGCAGAGTTGGATGTTTCTCTGCCAGTTTGGTCTCCTGGGGTGGCACCAGCAGCGGTGCCACCTCCTCCGGCGCAGTGCCGCGCCTTGGTTTTGCAGTGTCCGGAGCAGAGGTGATGCATGGACTGTGCTCAAATTGGGGGACCTCAGCCCCATTTGTGGGATGGTTTGGAAGGGAAACCAATAAAAATGAGCCATGTAATTTCCCAGAAAGCGAACCATTGCCATGTTGAAGAGGGGCAAAAGCAAAATCCAATAAACAATTGTGTTCCTGCATGGTTTGGAACGTACACCAAAATTAAAGCCAATCATTTCTGTGTCCGCCATAAGGAAGGCGAGCCTCACTCAAGATTGTCAATTTTGAGTTGAAAGGAGATACTCCTCACTTGAACTTATCAACTCTCAGTTGTACAAAAGTAAGTAATCCTCAGTGGGAAATGAACAATTCTCGGTTTAGCATAGGTAATCCTCACTTGAAACTTTAAACTCTCAGTGGCAATCCTCGCTTGAAAAGATCCATTCTGTTTTGTAATGGGGGGTGCCATGCGGGGGAGCATCGAAGGTTTGCACAAGGGCCCCGGGCTCTTGCCAGAGCTGGCGGGAGGCCCACTGCTGCATGGAGAGCTCCTGTCAAATGGCCAAAAAAGGCCCGAACTTTGGTTGGGGGTTTGCGGGGCTGGAGATTTTGGGGGTCTGGGGAGGGGTTGGGGGGTTTCGGGTTGGAGGTTCAAAGCGAGGTTTGTCTCATAGGGAAACCTTCTCTTCAAGAAGTGGGCCGGTCCCCTGGGAAACATGGGCGGTTTCACAGAGAAACATGGGTGAGAAAAGGGAAATCAAATCTTAGACAACTTGGTTTCTAGATGGGGATCCCAGAAAGAGTACCCTCAAAAACAGACACGCCCAAGTGGAGGCGAGATCTGCGGAATCCCGCGAAAGGAACGATGCCACAGAGGGGTGCAGTTTTCTTGCAGGTTGCTGGGTATTTTTCCCGTGGAAAGACCCGTTTGCGTTTGCAGATTTTTCGGGGAACGAGCTTGAATTTAAACCCTATCCCAACAACGTCACGAATGAGTCAGTGGAAACGGACCCTTCGTTAAACACCATGTTCAATGAAGATTCCAAAAAATCGGAAATGGCATATTCGGTAGATTGGCCAACAAAGTCCCCAAACTTTCTGTTTGGGAGATTGATCTTCCCCAAAAAAGAAACGAAAGTCCGGAACTCAGGAAGTGAGGTTTTCACATGCCCGAAGGTATGGCCATTGTTGAGAAGGTCACCAAAAGAATCCATGGGCCATGTACCTTACCTGGTAGAGAAACCCAAGGCTTCTGCTTGCTCGAGCGCCGCGCCTCCTTGAGTTGATCCCAGTCCTGGCTGGCGATTTGAGGCACACAACAGGTGCACTATGCTCCACCTACGAGCTATCCCAGTGATAACCATGGCTCTACTCCACTTATATACATATACTATTTGATTTGTTTTTTGTTATCCTCTCACCAATTAATTTGGAACCGTGGAACCTGACAGGGACCCGGTCCCTTCAAAAGGAAAATGCTCTTCCAGCACGCCCCCTGTGGGAGGGTTTCTACTACGTAGGGTTGAACATTCAAGCAGGAGACCTGTACTCCCAAGCGCCCGGAAAACGAGCAAACATCTGCAGCTTAGGAAATCGAAATGTCGGATCCAGTCGACTGCGACCTCTAAAATGATGGTTATCCAGGGAACCACTGGCAAAGAAGAGCCACTTTCAGGGCCCCGGTTGCCTGAACATCGGTGCACCAAAAGCAAAGTGGCAAACCTATCTAAAACTACCTGAGCTCTCCAAGGGTCGAACATGGCTGGTCACGGCATGACACAAGGATCCAAAATCCCACCCCCTCGAACAAACTCGCCCAAATCCTGGGGGAGTAGGGGCCTTTGGAGATCTAGTCTCATAACTTTGGCGGCCTAGATGCAAACAGTGCCTTCCTTTGGGAAGAGTATGACCTTCCACGAAGTTCAAATAGGTCCGACTTTTGGGCCAAAAGGAAAATGAAGCAAAACCCGAAAAGGGGCGAAAGGGCGGATGGTTTTGGTTGACTTCAACAAGAAAGCGAAACAGGACTCTCCCCCCGCGCCTGCCGCAGTTTCCGCGCACAACTTCGGCAGCCCTGCGGGCAAGTGGAACATAGAAACGCCCCTTTCTATGATAATACCAAAGCCTGGTGTTTCCCAAGGTCTCCCCGGTTGTGCCGCGCAGCCATTTTCACAACAAGCGGCGTTCCTGTTGTTTGCCTTAAACACAACCCTAAGCCTTCCAAAAAAACGTATAATGCGCCCGATACAAGACAAGCACACCCATGCTTGGATGTTCAACCTGGGGGAGAAAGCTACAACCAGTGTTATAGTCAGTCAACCCCTGTCATAACAATATCCCTGGTTGCCACCTGACTCAGACCCACTTGCAGGTTGAACATCCCATGGCTTGGGGTATGGAGTCCGTAAGCAACGACCTGAGCTCCGCGAGCCAACCGAAACTGGGTCAAACACTTGGCAAGCCTGTTTGACGGAGAAACGAGAACTTCGAATGGCATTGCGGGTCACCCCCCCCACTTTTGATGAGGCAAATAAAAAGGTGGGGTGGTTGGCCGTCATGTTCACAGCATTCCCTTTCTACTCGAACAGTGGCTGCCTCAAACTCTGCCCACAACCCCCCAGCAAAAGAGAGGGAGACCTTCAAGTCGTCCGGTCCTTCACCTGATCAAAAGGCTCGGATTCTCCATGGCGGAAGACCAAGAATCTACAATACGCATGCTTTTGCTGCTTCCCACTTCACATGGGGAGGGAGCCTTGCAGAAAGTGGACCAGCTCCATGGGGTGTGTCCCCCCTCGTTGTGTCCCACAGCGACAGGGAGGCAGAAGCTTCAGTGCAGCTCTGCAAGGGCTTCAAAAGATACATCGCAAAAGCACCTGATTCAGCGGAACCTCAGAATGCAGCGGGATAACAGGGTGACTCACAACCATGGTAAGTTACACAAGTCACTTAATGGCTCCGTCTCAAACTTAGGCAACCCCCATGTTGGGTGGTTTCCTCTTGTCTTCCCAATACAAAACCAAACCAAAAAGGATGGCCTCGAAAAAAAGACCTGCCCAACATCGCCTTCTTCTGCATGTCGACCTCTTCGGCCGGGCCCAGGTCGTCGAGAAACGCCCTTGGGCCATTGGAAATTTCCGCGCCGAGAAAATCGACCAAGCGCTTGACCTTTTTGGGGAGGAGTTCTACTTAGCAACACTGGAAAAAGAACAGCAACTTTGATTCGGTGTCTCAATCCTCCACTTGTTTAGAGAGTTTTGCTCCTAATCATCTCAATTCTCGACGGGAGTCTCATGTTTCGCAGGCTGCTCTCAAATCTCGCTTTGGACCCGTCAACATGGTCTGGAAAAAGAACGGATGTTAAACCCACATGTGGTTTCCTGTTGGGAAGTTAAACCCAGTTTAACAGCTCCGGATTGTTTAGAACCCAGTTTTAATAAGGGGGAAATCAAAGGTGCTCCCTGTTTCCGTGCTCCGAAAACTTCCCGGCAAAGGCAGACACTTTGAAAAAGGAAAACCACAGGACGCCTTCTTTTCAAGTCAATTGGTTTGAGGTTCGGAGCAGCAAGTCGAGAATCAGGGCCTGCCATTCGCCCTTGAGGCTTGTGGGAAGCTACCCGGGCATATCAAAGCGAACCATCATAGAACAATTCGCCGTATTATTATTCATTCTATACATATATACATACTGTATGTATAGATATATTTAAAGAGCGAAGGGTTTGGGCGGAGCACACGGGCATGTCGGGCCCGGCCCAGTCCCTCCGTGGGCTAAGGGAACGGCAACTCAAAGGCATCCACCTCGGGGACCTCAACCTGCGCGTGCTTGAAATCGGTGTGTCTTTCGAGGGTAGCCAAATGGGCCGTGGCCAAAAATCGGGTACCCCCAAAATGGCTTGTTTGGGTAAGTGGAGAAGTAGAAACCCAAATCCTGCGGTCTATATCCTGGTGGTCCAATTCTGACCCATAACCATTGAAGGTCAGTTCAAAGGGACACCAATAGGAACACCCGTCACCATGTGCAGGGCCCCGAACCGCACCCCAACTGTCCACCGATACCCGAATGGCAACGGTGTTCTTTCGGTCTCGCTTTCGATGACACCAAAATGGGGGGGGAACTCCCACACAAGACAAACAAGCAGCAACTGTTTTCTTGACCCTATCTTATACAAGGCCTCCGTGTCCCTTCAGCCTGCCATCAACGTGCAAGCGACCCTTGCTGGCAGAATCAAGAAACCGGAAGACAAAGGCTGATGCTGATTGTCAACATCCATTGCCACCCCAGTTGGGATGTGAAACCCTCAAAACGAAAACTGGGTGAACCCAGCTACCAATTTGAGTGGAATTTGTGCATCCACAGTAGCCCAAGGAAACTCAAATCCTTGCAAGAGGGCGCACGACTTGAAGGTGCTTCGCAGTTTAGAAACCGGTCCCTTAAAATGGCAACGGCTTCTTTTGGTTGGAGGGAAGCCAACCAAAAACGGAGTCCACCAGTTTGAGGACGCACATCTCCCCAAAAGACCCCGGATCAAGGGTGCCAGAACAATTTGTGTGTGTGCCCAGAAATTTTGGAGGTTCCCCTCTTTTGACACATACACGAATCTTGTTGCTTCCCATCGGGATCCTTAGATGTCCAGGATTGCTCCCAGTTTGGAAACCATCCATGAATGTTCGACCCTTGCAACCACAAAGTCCCTCTGCGAAACTGTGAGTATGTTGTAGTGTGTTATTGAGGGTACAGTACCATGGTTTGGGCGCAGCTACAGGGAAACCAAAAAGAAAGCCAGACTTAGGTTCCGCTATTTTGACAGACACCCGTGACACCCATGTAGGTTCAAGGAAACGTGACTGGAAAAGCAGCAAGTTTACCAACCAGCGCTGCTAAACAATTGAGTACCATCAAAGTGACATCTTCAAAGATGATCTTCAAATGTTGGTTCAATGAGAAACCACCTGCAAGAAAGCATCTCAGCATGTTCACTTCAAGCCCAGTCGACCAGCTTGAAAGTGGCCCCCCATGTTGCGGCACCTATGATCAGAGCTTCACTGTCCTGGTTCCTTAGATCATGGGGCAGGCATCCCAGGTCAGAACGGGTCCGATGGCCGAAGGGAACCGCATTTATGAATCACGACAAACTGCAAATCTGAAAAAAGAGATTCCATTCAAGGAACCTTCAACATGGGTGAGCTCGCTTTTACCCCTGCCCCAAAAATTTGAGCTCGGCATGATTTGCCCGGATTCTTGCCACCAAGCGCAATTGATACTATGTACCATGCTAGAGGCTGGCTTTCGTGCAACACTTCTATATGTCAATTTAAATGCATGTGCATGGCGCAGCTGCTAAGGCGGCCGGTGCAAAGTTCTTTACACACGCAGCACGCGACAGCTAGACTGCCTGTTGCTGACAGCGACAAAAACCAAAAAGCTCCGGTGGCTTGCGTGATATCCCGCCCGATTGATGATGAGAACTAATTACTAGGATCACCACCAACGGAACCCTTTCGGAACCTTTTCGGAACCCAAAAACGTCGAAGCCGCTCCAAACGCTCTGGAGGCTCTGGGCAAAGGCCCCAAAGCTTTCAGTTGTTGGGGAAAAAGTCCGAAGGTCTTCTTCGCCCACGAAACATGAGCGGTTTCTCAAAATGGGGGGAGCCCTTTTGGTTGGGCATTTTGAATGGGAAACCCAAAGTTGCAACCCGTTGCCATACGGGGCAACGATTCCTATTTTGAGGTTCCACTTCAAATGCCCCCCCCCCCCCCAGAAAAGCCAAGCGCAAGATCCTGCCTCCAGCAAAGGCTGCACAAGCTGGTCGAGCCTTTGCCGCTGTTCAATGCCAGGGGAATGACGCCTTTTTTGGGGTCTCCTCAGAAAATGTACGTCATATCTTTAAGACCCTAGTCTGAGGTCTCCAAGGAGAACATGTCTTAAACGCTTGACGAAATGTGGCCGTGGGTCAAAAATAGGGTAACCCCAACATGGCACCCTGGTAAATGGAAACAATGACTAAAACCGGTGGTCCCCTGGTGGGTTAATTTTGACCCATACCCATATCTTCTTGTTTGGTAATCTGTCTTTTGGCGTGCCCTGAACCAACGCCCTGCTGAAAGAGAGAGAGGGAGAGCGTTCTACGGGCCAAACTCCTGGGTAATACCCCCAACGGCCATGATAAATGGGTGTGTCTCCTGTTTTGTTGGAGGGAACCTTTTAACCTTGTGTTGGTGTTTTTTGCAGGGAAATTGGTGTGTCTTTTGGTGCATTTTGCAGGGAAACCAAACCGGAAGACTACCCAATTTGTCTGTCCGATTCCAAGCCACGCTCTTTGAGGTGACCTTCGGCTTGGGAATCGACCAACTGACCGACCAACACCTATTGACAGGGCTAGATGTGTGTCGCTGTTTCATGGGCCCAGAAAGGGCTATGGGGAGGGGGGGAATCCCTTATTAACCCCGAAAGGCCTTGTTAAGGGCTTATCCATGGCTTGTCCTGAGCTTATCCAGGGATAGCCCCTTCCCCACTAGCCCCCCAATTTTCGATCATCCCAATGGGGAAGCCACAAGGGGGACCGATTCCTTGCGTAACCAGAGGTAAGGATTAATTACCTTTGAACAGCCCAGGTTATAGGTTATATGGGGCCTCATCTTCTTAGGAATCGGACCCCCCCAAAAATGGCTTCGGTGTTCCCATGGTTTGGTCCTTTAAACACCGCAGAAAGGGGCCCCAAAACAAGACAGGCCTCGGCAGAACTAGACCAAGCAGTGGTACCACCAATTTAAATGGATTTCTAATGATGGTTGTTTGTTGGGCGCTGCTCACTTGGTTTTTCCAGTCTCAATGACTGTGACTGGCCCTTACTAAGCTTCACTTAGCCGGGCCTTGGCTCACCTGACTTCTGCATTTAACCCCATAAGTTCTGCTTTTGTTTGAGGGGTGGTGACGCACCTGTCCCCCTGAAACATGGAACCTGACTGATGGGTCTTGGTCCATGGCGCAAGTGTGCCCAACCTTCATGAAGGTTGGGTGACGCATTGAGTGATTTCAGATGGTTTCAGATGCTACACGCATTGGCCTTCGGTGCAAGCCATCGGAGCCCGCTTCTTTTTCAGAACCCATACAAGGGACGCATCGCATGCTGGCGAGTAGTCTCCAGCTTGTCATAGTAAGAATTTTGTGAGTGTACCTTCACTGCAGTTCATCACAGTGACTATTGGCCATTGCCCCCCATGCATATTAGATACATTGGAATTACTTGTGTAGATTTGAGTTTTGCTCGTCAAACTTATGTCCTGGTTCGTTGCTTTGACTAAAACTTGGATCTGCTTTTCCATGCCCAGTGGGTCAAGTAACCACGTCCAAGCTCGTTTTCGTGTTTAAAGAGTGTCTCCCTTCCGCAGCCGCAAGCTGTGTTTTCCGCTCGCGCGGCCCTGGAAGCTTTGCCAGGACAAGCAGATCATCTGCAACACTTACACTCAAGCCCTGCAACTAGAACTGGATCCCCAAGTACAGGAACTACATGTGTGAAACCGCTTCGTTTGGTTTGCCGGAAATCCGGGGTAAAGAACTGCCGCGGATCATCGTGCGAGCAGGGCTTGGTAGATCTCCCTACTCCGTCGCAGGTCTAATGCGTTGCGGGCGCCCATGGCAGCCGCCTTAGAGAGACGAGGCGCGGGGCCCGGTGTGATTCATCCCACAAAACGCATGAAGCGCGTGTTAAGCGGCATATAACCTCCGTGCCTCCAAAACCCAGACCTGAAACTACCCTTCCTTTGGGACCTGAAGGGCTCAGTTCCCAAATATTCAAGGACTGTGGTCATTTACCCGGCAGCAAATTCACGGCTACTACGTAACCCGAATTCAGCCGCAAAAAGGCTGAGTTATGGACTCGGGAAAATCGGACTGTTGGCCTGATACCGACCTGCGGAGTTCGCTCCATGGCAAGTGCTTGATCTTTCTGGTGGACTGAAATGAAGAAACCTGCGAATTTAAAAGCAATAAGAAAGCTACAAATGTAAATTTGGGTGTGGCTCAAAATTAGACAGGAGGGGTTAACGCAGGTTTTGGTCCATGTTTCCACTTACCAGGGTTTCCTTTTGGTACCGGTTTTTTGAGCCACAGCCATTTGGCGACAAACAGCTCCAAGAAGCAATCGTCTCCACATCGAAGGACTGCAGCTTGACCACGAGCTCCGCTAATCCCGAGAAGAACTGCACCTCTGGCATTTTCATGTAGTCCGTCTGCCGCCACCTGAGCACACGATTTGCGCCCTTGTGTACTAACAGGTCAGCCGCATTCAATCTTCCCCCATCAACCCACCCCAAAAACAGGTCTCATAACAAGAGACATGTCCCCCCAAACAAACGAAACAAATGGGTGCGTCTTTCTTCGTGCGGGGACCCCCCAAAAATGGCGGTGATTCTTTTGGTCTCCCCTTGCAAAACAAAACAAGCGCACCCTCAACATTATGTCGGTCTCCAATTGAAGGACCCAAGAAAAGGCGAATAGACCCTCAAGAAAGACACCCCTGAATCCCCGTCCATTTTCAGCTTTATCAGAGGCGCCAGCTCCTGATCTGCTGATGCAATGGCACCTCCGCCGCGGAGTCCAACCACGGCGGCAGGCCCGGAGGCAGAGGGGTCCTACTATGGTCCAAACTCCCATGGCCCATGGCCTATGGTATCTTTTGTCCTTGTGGCTTGCCAAGTGCATTGAGGCCGCGGCGCTTTTGGGGAGGGGGGGTATAAAAACCAAGTCTGAATTCGGACATGGTTTGCTTAATGGGAATCAATTCAAAGGTTCCTAAGGATCCTTACCAGGTGGATGAGCATCCCGCTAGCTGCAAAGTAAAGGGGTCTTTGGATAAGGGTGGGTGAAAAAATGGCGCCCGAAATGGAACACTGGTAAATGGAAACAAGCACCAAAACCGAGGGGCAAATTAGCCAATACCCATGTTTTCTTGAGGGAAACCCCTTTTTGGTGGGTAGTGGGGAAACCGAGAAAACACAAAATCCAGCTGTGGGGTCACCTAATTTTAACACGAACCCAGGTTGCCCTTGTGGGCCAGAAGTTTAAAGAGGAAACATAGGCAACCCTAACTCACACGTAGATTTAAAAACTAACTCCAAGACCCTACTAGAGAAAGCCCCCAAAACTGCTTGTTTCCTTAAGAGGAACCACCCCTAATTAGCACGGTCCTCGAAATTATTCCGAAATTATGTAACATGGAGGTTAAAGCCGGCATTACAAGTGGAAGAACAGAGCTGTAAGTGCGGTGCAATGATGTTTGGCGATGTTTGGCGATGTTTGGCGATGCTACGTGACGGTGATACTGTGGAGGTACCAACTGGCGCCTGGTGTGGATTTTGTCCATCCGCAGTAATTACGCCCCCCGAGAAAGCAACCAATCGTTCAACCCATGATACCCTTTGCAAGGCTTGCGCCTCTGCTTTGCCGGTTTGACGGGGAGTGGGGGGGTTGGGACTGCTGCGAAGGGAAGGCTACAGCAGGGAAGCTTCGCTCCGCGACCCGAAGAGTCGACCGGTCGCCCGGTCCGTGTGCCAGGGCCTCGGAAAAACCAGCTGCTGAATCTGGCATTCTGTTCCCCCATTCTTTTCGAAAACCAGCTATGCTCGCTTCCTAAGTTGATGGGCCAAAAAAGTAACCAACCTTGTTGGTTGCCACTAAAATGCTCCAGAGCCAAAAAGCTCAAAGTCCAGGAGCTCTGGAAGTGAGTATGTGTTCAGCCATCGAAAACCTGTGAAAAAACAGGATGCCTTCATCGAATGGGGGAATAGCTTGCATGACAGGACCCTGACATAAGCTATCGCATGGGTTGCTAAAACTATGCCGTCACCTCAGATCAAAACCAAACCGAACTGGGAAACAACAAGCTTGGGCGTCCGCTGGCGCCACCGAGCAACTGCTGCGAACGTATATCAATGCTCATCGTGGAAAGGGGGGTTCTCTCACCAGTGATCCGGTTTCTCTATGGGACACCCCTAGGGTCAACTTGGGGGTTGCTAATTCGCTAATCATGCTAATCCTAGGTCAACATTGCTGGAGTATAGTGTGTTTATTCAACATTTTCGGAGAGGGCTCCCTCTTGAAATCAAACCCTGTCTTGCTCGTTGCTCGGCCAGGCCGCTTCTCTTCAAACTGTGACTCTCCATGTCAACTTTAGCAGCGCCCAAATACGGCTCCCCTTTAAAGGAAGAGCACGAGGATGTAACCATGGGGCTTCGTTTACAGGCAAGACGAAAACCGCTCATTTTGGGGTCCCCCTATTCTGACGCATACCTGAGTCACAATCAAAGCCTGGTATGAACAAAGTCCACCGAAGTCTATGCAAGGAATAGCATCGGACAGCTCGCAACAAAATAGGCAGAACCATCCTTCAAAAGCGCCACCGTCTCTCTGACCGAATCCGAGGGGCACTGCAGATGGCAGGCCGCGCCCTGCCACCACTCGCGCCTCGGGAAAAAAAAAAAAAGCAAACGGGGAGTACACTCTAAGACTCACTTTCCTGAGTGGGTTGGCCGAAAAGGCAAAAAGCTGCTTACCACCGCGTTTCCTTCCCAAGTATAGAGTCCAACTCAGGAAGAGCAAAAGCAAGCTAACATGCCTTTCTTCGGCTCCGAACTACAATTGGCCAACCGGAAGGGCACTTCACAATAATTGTCCTACTCAAACACCTGGTAGAAACGAAGAACCCTGTTTGAGGTTGGACAGTTTGTTGGGAATCCACCAAACCAAAAAGGAGAAGGATGCCACTGACCAACTGATGTTTAAGGAGTCTAAAACAGACAGGGAATGTCATGACCC